AAAAATTATGAGAGTTATGAATATTATTAAAAGTAAAAATTAAAGAGGGGCAAGTCATGGGTAATAACTCCTTGTGAATAAATTAAAAAATAAAGATAAAAATACTTAAAATGTAAAAAAATTTATTATCATTTCATGATTAGAAGTGAGATAAACAAATAGAAAAAAAGAATGTGGAGAGTTTTTTGTTGTAAATGTTCCTACATTAATAAAATATTTATTTGTATAAATTAAGTAATATATTTTTACAATACAATAATTAATTTGAATTAAAAAAAAGTCAAAAAAAGATAAATTATGTTTCTCCTTTTATTATAAGTGAGACAAATAAATAAAAAAAAAGAATATGAAGAGTTTTTGTTATAAATGTTCCTCCATTAATAAATTATTTATTTGTAATAAATTTAAGTAATTTATTTTTATAATCTAGTATTAATTTTTTATTTTATTTTTAAAAAGCCAAAAAAAAAAGAAGAAAAAAGCTAAATGCAAATGGAGGTCATAGAGATGTGTCACATCACTTTGTCTATGGTCCTCCTTTATATTACCCTTATATATAAATTACCCTTATATATAAACCAACAAGAAAAGGACTATCACTGCAATATATAATTGTACATCATGTTGTGTGAATTGTACTTTTATATAGGCTTATTTATTGATTGATGAATACACGTGTGCACACTTCTCTTTGCCAAAAAATGAGAGGTTGTAGGAATACAACGGGATAGTGTATTAAAAGTGACAAAGTAGTTTGTTAATTAGGTAGGAGTCCTCCAAGTTTTAAATATTAGGTAGAAGTGACAAAATATATAATTAATATTAATGAAATTAAAAAATCTTTCCTCAACAGCCCCAAACTTTTAACTTTTATACTTTTATCCCATATTTTTTACCTCAAAATACCTAAAATTTTACTAAAATATAATGAGAAGTCCCTTTTTTTTAATTGGAGACTTGTGAGGCATTCTTACCTCATTTTTCGTCTTATACAATTACTCAACTCCTACACCTTAACCAAAATTTCCTCTCAAGTCTGTCTTCTTTGGAGCAACTTGGTTCACTCGATGAAGCAGGGGAAAAGGCATCAAAAGTCATTCATGCCGTTTTTGCCAAATTTTGCTTTATACGTCTGCCTCCTCTATCTGAATTGCCTCATTCATGCTCCTTCATTGAGTTCCTCTGGATATATTTTCTATTTTAGTTTTGCATGTGTTTGAACTAGAAGTTTCACGATTTTGACGGAAAATACAAGCTAATTAGGGTATTATTACTTAGTTTTAGGTTTGGATCTAACTTTTTATGATTGTTTTATTTTCGTAGTGCCCGCATCTTCAAAATGAATTGGGACGCTTTCTTAATTTGCAGAAATCGAGCTCAGGCGGCGGTGATGTGAGTGGGGGATGTTATCTGCAGCTGAGCAGCAGGAGGCTGGAGAAACCCTTGGTGGGTTTTGAAAAGAAAAGACGGAAACACCCTTTGAAGGAATCAAAAAGACAGAATCGGAGTTTGAGGGTGAGGGAGATGAACGGCAATCTTGGAATTCTGGGTCTGTTGAGGGTGAAGAGGAGAAGAAGGAAGAAGTTCATGTACAGGAAAATCAGAAGGAAATTGACAACAATGGCAGCTTTGAAGGTGAAAACTTGCTGGAATTTGATGGTACAGAGAGGTGAGTTTTCGCCTTTTCGGGTTTTTGTTAAATTTGCTCGATGTAATTGTTAGATTTTTCAGTATGATTAGGGTTGATGCTCTGTTTACTGGTAAGTCGGAATTCGAACTCTCACCAAAAAGGTGAAAGTTTGGGTAGTCATCAAGAGGCTCTCTACACTTAGGGCCCGTTTGGCCATAAATTTCCCAAATAATATTTCGGGGAAAATTTGGCAAATGGTGTTTGTCCATACAATTTGCCATTATTTGACTAAATATTTTTTGGCAAATATCCCAAATTCCCAAATACTAGTTTTTTTTTAGTATTTGGGCCAAATCTCATTATTTGGGATCTTTTGAAAATTAAAATTTTACACCAAACTTTTATCTTTTACAAAAACACCCTATATAGTAGTTGTTTGCATTGTATTACATAATTTTTTACGTGAACACCAAAGTAGTGATGAAATATTTTGTGGATATGAAAGTGATGATATGGTTGTTGATAAAAATGATGAACAATTGGCTTAGGGTAACAAAGTCATGTGTTTTGTCTACTTCACGATGTATGGAATTAGGGGTGTACAAAACTGAACCAAAAATCAAACCAAACCGCAAACCGAAAAAGAAATTCGACTAGTGGTTTGGTTTGACTTGGTTTGGTATTGAGAAAAAAACCCGACTATATTTGGGTTGGTTTGGTTTTAACTAAAAAAACCAACCCAAGACCAAACCAACCCAACATTATATATGTAATTTTAAAATTTTATTTTATACATAAAAATATTTACTTTGATATAATTTTAAAATATTTCTTATACTATTTTATAGTTTTTATCTTTTAATAAGTTATTTCAAGTTTAAAACTTAGAATTCGGAATGGTCCAATAAAGATTATAGTTCATAGATGTTGATAATTATAATAAAACTTAAATCAAAATCAAACTAATGCAAAAAGAAAATCAATTCAACACTAAGAATGACAATAATATTGAATATTAGTTTTACATTGGTTTGGACAATTCAAATACATAATCTAATTTAATTTCCTTTAATATTTAGTCATGTAACTAATACTTATTAAACTTATATTTTAGCATGATTTTGTACCCTTTGAAGGAATCGAAAAGACAGAATCGGAGTTTGAGGGTGAGGGAGATGAAGGGCAATCTTGGAATTCTGGGTCTGTTGAGGGTGAAGAGGAGAAGAAGGAAGAAGTTCATGTACAGGAAAATCAGAAGGAAATTGACAACAATGGCAGCTTTGAAGGTGAAAACTTGCTGGAATTTGATGGTACAGAGAGGTGAGTTTTCGCCTTTTCGGGTTTTTTTTAACTTCAATTTCTTCATTTTGTTAAATTTTCTCGATGTAATTGTTAGATTTATCAGTATGCATGTTACAATTTATGATTAGGGTTGATGCTCTGTTTACTGGTAAGTCAGAATTCGAACTCTCACCAAAAAGGTGAAAGTTTGCGTAGTCATCAAGAGGCTCTCTGCACTTAATATTGGCGCCAATGTTTCTACACTTACATGTTGAGAAAATAGTATTTTCTGCCGGCAGATGCTTGGTGGGAGAAAATAGAACAGCTTTAGTCGATATGAGAGCTTTTCCATTCATATACTCATTTTAGTTGCGCGGACTCTTCACTTTTGATGCCACACCGCTGTCGGCAGAGGCAAATCTAGGATTTTTCGAACATGGGTGCACCAAGTAAAATGTATTGAAGTGAGAATTGATCCTTAATCCTCAAGGTCAAAAAGCTCAACATTTAACCATGTGGACCATTTAGACTTCTTGTAGTACGGGTGCAAGAATATAATATTATACAAAAATCTTAAAAAATATACCTATAAAATATCTAATTTTACGAAGAGACCAACGGGTGCGGGTGCCCTATTTTTTGGCTGTAAATTCGCCACTGGCTGTCGGATTCTCTGAAATTACACTACTTTGGAGAATCCGACTTGTACCCATTGGCATTTTTAAGAGTCCGAGCAACATAGATGATACATGAAAAAGTTAATAGCAATGAAGAATTTAACAAGAGCATTCACCAAACTAAGAAAAAATCATTTTGATCATTCACGATCAATAATTATGGACGCCATGATATACTAATACTTGTGTGGATCAAATAAGTAGAGACGTATAAGGTAATACTTCGTTTTTATTACTTTTTCATTCTGATACAATAATATAAGTGTTGATACATACGCGAGATACAATAATATAAGCGCTGATACATTAATCTGATGTGCGAGATAAAATAATATAAGCGTTGATACATTAATCTGATGTGCGAGATACAATAATATAAGCGCTGATACACTAATCTGATGCGCGAAAATGAGGGATTTCTGTAATTATAAACTTTTAAGGGATAAATTGTAATTTTACCTTAAAAATATGTGATTTCTGTAATTTGTCCTTATTTTTTTCAGTCACAATCTTGCCTTGGCCTGCCACGCTGCTATATATATATATTAATAATATTTATTTCCCTATCAAAGCGTTTTCTCTTAGGTTTCTTATATGGTAAGAGAAAGAATGATACGTAAAATGACAATTATCCTTTTTGGCAATACGTTGTTGGGGCATATAAGGCCCATGACTTGTCTATTTGTCTTACATTAAGTCGGGCCCCATGTTTAGTTGGACTAGCAATTAAAGTTGAGCCCATTAGTATGGGCCCACCGGCTCCTTTTTTCGGGTCCATCAATGTGAGTTTCGGACACTAAATGTTAAAAAAAAAGTGTAATTGTATAACATTTTTACTAGTTTATGTTACACCTTTTCCATCTAGAGGGTTTCACAATTTGTCACTAGCAATATTTATTCAATAAAACTTTGGCGCTTCTGAATAATTGAGTTTTTTTTTAATAAAGAATACTCACCCATAATGATAATTGGACATTTAACAACTCTTGATGTGATATTTTTTGCGGCAAATTATATTTTCAAGCATCATTTTAGTTTTATTCTTTCTACAAAGTGTAGAAACTCATAAATCAAAATAATATATAATATTTAGCCAAACTTTTTCAGATATTAACTTGATGAGAAGAGTAAATATTCATGTTGTTGCAACTTGCATGCGTTTGGATGGCTATTGAAGTTTGATATGTAAAAACAGATAAACTAGACTAAAATTTAAAATTAGTTAGTATATATTTTTGTAACCTTGTGTTAAAACAAAAATTGGAATTTTACAGTTTTGTCTTCTTCACACCAAACAATTACACAAATTCCTAGGAGATATGTCTTATTGTCCGCTGAAATTTGGATCACAGCCACAGTAAAAAACAAAAACAAGTAAATAATCTAAGATAAAATCAACAATTTGAACAATTACTACTTAACCAAGAGATAAGTTGGCATTTCAGATCTAAAATTTATGTTAGACTAATATCCATATAAAATAATATATGGAGAAGGGTCTAAAATGCCCCCAAGTATTTGAATTGGTACAAAATTATCCTTCATCCACATATCGGCCCTAAAATACCCCTGACGTCCATCTTTCGGCTCAAAAATACCCTCGATGTTAATCTTTTGACTCATATTTGCCCTTATTTTTAATAGCTCCCTTAAAGTAAAATTATTAAATATTTATTTATTATATTGCTTAATGTGATTGCTACAAATTTAAACCCTTCTCAAATAAATAACAATAATGATATTTTTAAAATTTCTATTTTTCTATAAAACCACTTATGATTCGTATTTTGACCCGATACACTTGAAAATAATATTGAAAAAATAA